TGAGAATACTGAGGCTAGGAGCAGAGAAGAAAGCGCTGGGAAAGTTGCAGGAACCAAGACATCCTGGAAGTCTATTCTCCAAAACTGGTACCTTTCAACAATTTTTAAAGATTGACACAACACTAGAGGAAGCAGAAGGAAAACAAAACCAACCTAGAGCAAGAGCCCAGCTCACTTCTCAACTGCTAGAATCCAGCTACTCAGGGACTGAAGTCCCAGTCCCCACGCCTGACTAAGCCCCGCCTCCCTCTCCCTCCAGGTCTGCTGGCGGAAAAGGACAGCAATTATTGTCTCTGCAGGACGCCCTGCAACCTGACTCGCTACAACAAAGAGCTCTCCATGGTGAAGATCCCCAGCAAGACATCAGCCAAGTACCTGGAGAAGAAATTTAACAAATCAGAAAAATACATCTCGTAAGTTAAGTGGGCAGGAGGATTGGGGGAATGGATCAGGAGGAAACCAGGGGCAATTGAGGAGGAAGGCAAAGGTAAGCAGTCAGTTCAATTTAGCAAATGTTAATTGAGCACCTGCTGTGTGCCAGGCTCTGTGCTCAGTGCTCAGAATATAAAGACAAAGACAGTAAGACTCAGCCTCTGCCTTTAAGGAGCCTGCAGTCTTGTGGGGAGACAAGTGCCCAACTGAATGCCATATAGAGTGATGTTGGCTATAATGGAGGTGGGCATTCAGTATACGGAGAGTGATGGGTTAAGCGCAGCTTGCATGGGGGTGAAGTCAGAGAAAGCTTCGGAGATTTTTTTTTAAGGATATATAGGATTTTCCCAGACAGACCTTGCACATTCTGTTCGCTCTGCCTAGAATGCTTTTCCTCCCACTCTCCACCTAACTGGTTCCTCCTAATGCAGGTCTCATTTTTTTTTAAGGATATATAGGATTTTCCCAGACAGACCTTGCACATTCTGTTCCCTCTGCCTAGAATGCTTTTCCTCCCACTCTCCACCTAACTGGTTCCTCCTAATGCAGGTCTCTATTTAAATATCATCTCCTGGGACAGCTAGATTAGGTCCCCTCCTGTAATTTTGCTCTCAAAGTACTCTGGTGTTTTCCTTTATAACACTCACCACAGTGTGTAATTATGTATTCCTGTGTAGTTTCTTGCTTATTACCTGCCTGCCCCACTGGACTGAAAGCTCCCTGAGGGCAGGAGACTCTCTTTTTTGTTCTCTGCTTATTTACCAAGTACTTAGTGGAGCATCTGGCAGAGCTGGTGCTCAAAAAAAATGTCTTTTAACAGAATAAATAAATGAAAGGCATGGGAGAAGAGGGTGTCCTCGGCAGAAGCTCAGCAGAGAGAATCAGCAAAGGGCAGACGAGAGAACTTCAGAGAGGAAGGTGGACATGTCAGAGCAAGCAGGTCTTGCAGGCTGAGCTGGGTGGGGCGTATAGGGTACAGGGGGTAGACTTTATCCTAAGAGAATAGGGAGCTGCTGAAGAGCTTTACAGAGTGAGTGACAGACTCAAATTTGTATTTTAGACCAACAGAACATTCTGCATAGATGAAAAGGTTCTATATCTGTGATGTCCAATATGGTAACCACTAGCCACACATGGCTATTGAGCACTTGAAATGAAGCTTCTGTGACCGAGAAATTAAATTGCAATTTTATTTAATTTGAGTCAACTTAGCAGTTTTAGAAAGATCATTCAGGTGGCAGTATAGAAGACGGGTTGAAAGCCAGATGGGACGAAGGGGGCTTGTTAGGAGGCAGTTGCCATCAACCAGGCCAGAGATAGTGACACTCTGGAGAGCTCCTCAGCAAGCCCTGTGCGGTGAGAGAAGTTTCCCCCTCTTCTGCAGCCACTCCCTCCTGCCAACACAGACCCCGTCCTGAGACAGCTTTTGCTCAGTGGGTTGAGAACAAAGGGCACTGAGGACGTTGTGGGCAATGTGGAAGGGGGTGGAGACGCCAGGCCCACTGCTGAGCAGGCATTCGGCAGGCGGTAATGACTTTCACTGCCAAGATGTGTCCCACTAACATACTCGCCTAAAGAAGCAGAGGAGGCCACAGTGCTTCTGCTAGAAACCCGCCAGCCAGACATAGGTTTGCTCACTAAAAACCTTCACTGACTTAAGCACCTGACTCAGAAATGCCAGGGCAGGGCGTCCCACCAGGAGAAGCTTGTTATCAATCCCAGCAGGAATTTGGGGGGCTCTCAAGAGTGGGCAGGGGCCACCCAGGCCAACCTCGTCAGGATATTACATGTCAAGGACCCAGGCAGGACCTTTGGGGGCTCAGACCTGGAAGCCAGACAGGTCTTCTGGAAAGGGTGCAAAGAGACAGGGGGATAGACAGAAGGGCCAGAGGGGCAACTGATAGAGGTCTCCAGTCCTGCAAACAGCCCTGGGCTGGGTTTCCAGCTCCAGCTCTGTCACTCACCAGCTCTAACTTTGGGTAAGTTGTCTCACTTCGCTGGTCCCGTGTCTCCATCTGTCCATGGGAAAGCTGTGTGAGATGTTCCCTGTGAGCGCTGATGGTTCTAACCATGTACGGTACTGAATATTCCCTCTGCAGAGAGAACATACTTGTTCTGGATATATTTTTCGAAGCTCTCAATTACGAGACAATTGAACAGAAGAAGGCGTATGAAGTTGCTGCCTTACTTGGTAAGTCAGGGTGTCTATTGCACAAATTCCCACCTCACAGGGGGTGGCAGGGAGGGAGGATGGGTGGGTGGGTGGGTAGGCAGACAGATAGATAAGCCTTTTAATTTGCTAATTACTCCCTCTTTCCTGGCACTGCTCCTGTCCCAGAATGGGAATAACCTTAGTGTGTTGGTGACTTGAATCCCAGCTCATTCCCCAGTCTAGGCCTCAGTTTCCCCACCTACACAATGAGGAGGGCAAGCTTAAACTCTCTCAGGGCCTTTCCAGCCCTGTCCTCCCAGATTCCATGGTCTTCTGCCCCCAGGTTGGTATCAGAATCCTGGAACCACAGAAGGAGGAAAGAGCTGTCAGATGGAGGGAAGGAGGAAAGGCTAAACTACGGGTGGTCCCCTGGCATAGGGCACAATCAGGGTCCTGATGAAACCCCACCTGGAAAGCAATGTTGCTGCATTGAGCCCCTGAGTCCCTTGTCAAACACAAAAGAAGGAGTACTCTCCCCGGGTGTCCACACACCTGGCTGCCACCCCACACAAGTTCACATTATCTCTCCTGGCCCCATTGACACCTAATGAATGCAGGGAGTTCTTTCTAACCCTGCCCCAGCCCAGCCCACAACTCACAAGACCCCTGACATAGAACAGTTAAAGGACCTGCCGCTTGAGTCCTCTCCCAGCTCCCACTCACTCTCATGAAAGGATATGCCACCTGTTCCCTACAGGCAGAAACAGCTGTTGTGTCTGTGAGCTGAACTAGGCGAGAGTAGCATCCTACAAGGGGCAGGCACCTTGTACCTGCAGGTGTGGAGGGAAGAGTGAGGGCTTTGCACACCAGCTGCGAGGATATTGGCAGTGGCTTCCCCTTGAGGAACCACAGGTCCCTCATCTACAAAATGCATTTAATAAAACCCACTCTATGAGTTTGTTGTCACAGTAAAATGTGATAAAGCCCCTAACCCAGAGAAGACCCATAAATCCTAGTTTCTGGCTCCTGAACTGTCACTATGCCAGGGACCCAGGGCCCAGCCGGTGTGTCCAGGGGCTGTCTGAGCATTTCTACACACCTCCAGGGGGCTGTGAACTGAGCCGTAGCTTGGTCCCAGGTGGGTTAAGGTGGCTGTCACTCATTGTGGCCAAAGATGCTGGGCCAAGAGACTTGCGCCTAGGCCCCACAGTAGAGGTCATACACCAGAGATGTAGGCCCCACCCACTCCTGCCCCTGCCATGTGCTGGCTTGGACTTTATTTCCTGAACAGGATATGCCCCTCCCCTCCCCTGCCCTCCCCCAGCATAGGCACTTGCTTGCTCTCCCTCCCTCCCCCCTCACTTCCCACCCTCTCCCTTTCTCTCTCTCTCTCTCTCTCTCTCACACACACACACACACACACACACACACACACACACAGCAAGGAAGGTCTGAGCTCTGAATCTGTCATGTCTGCATCAGATATTAAGGATGAGCATGTCCCCAGCATCTTGCTCCCACCCAGAATAGCCCGCTGAGGAAGTCATGCTGCCATCTGTACCTCCTGCCATGAGAGCCAGTGCCGCTTGCAAACACTCAGCCAGCAGCCCAACCAGGCTTTCTCTCCCCGCCATGCAGCCCATTCCCACCTCCCAGCGTCAGCACACATGCACGTCCCAGCCCACCCTGTACAAGCATGTGCCAACCTATTGATCCAGAGCCACACACACAAACACACACCTCCACAGCCCACATGCCAGCCACACAGCCACACAGACACGTCCATGCACACAACAAGCCTAGGCAGACACACTGCACGCCTACACTCTTGCACACTCAGTACTCACGCCTATCCACACACACCCCTACATGTGCTCACCCATGTTCTACACACTCAGACACACTCCACCCATCTCCACAAACCCACACTCACACACTTAGACATACACAGTGTGCCTAACCTAGACAGATAGCCACCTACATAGAACCATCAATGGCCAGATGTGCTGCCTGCTTCTGTACAAACACATGCACACACACACCACACCCTGGCACATACCCCTCCATATACCACTACATACTCAGCCCCACTGCACATGGATATGACACACACCTCCCACCCGACACACACACATGCAAGTACACACTCCCCAGTAAGCCTCCATTAGGGACATTGGAGAAAGCAGTGGGGGGGAGGAAAAATGGGAGCCATTTTGAGCTCAGCACCAAGTCCCACTAGGAAGAGCCCCCTCCCCACCATCTCTGCTTATTTGCCTGGGGATGTGGGTGTTGGGCTCCAACCAGCCATAGCATGGGAGAAGTAGGGCAGATCTACCCATCAGAAAGTTCTCAGACCAAGAGGTTGGCCTGGACCCGCCAGGAGGATTATACGCCCACCCCCGATAGTGCCCCCCATTCCCACTCCTCTCCCCAGCCCAGCTGAGAGGCTGACAGTCTTAGAGATTAGAGCTAGAAAGGACTCCGCAGTTCATCTCTCCTAACCCCTGCCCAACCACCACCACCACCAAATATCCTTTGGAGGCAAAGCTACTGAGAAGGTCAGGGCTTGTCAAAGCCACACAACCAGTTGGTGGCCACCCCCAGATTCAGAGCCCCCTGTTCTACCACACTGCCTCCAGAGCAAAGCATCTTACACTTTTGGGGTTCAGAACCCCTTTGAAAATCTGATGATAGCTACAGACTCTCCTGCTACAAATGTCCACGTGCGCACACATTCTGCCTTCAATTTCAGTTTTGCAGCCTTCTGAAGCCCTCCCAGGAGAGTGGTTCTCAAGCTCTGGTGGGCCTGAGAACCACCCAGGGAACTTAAAAATTCTGATGTCCAGACCCCAACCCCAGAGTTTCTGAATCTACAGGCCTAAGGCATGTCTAGGCATCGACATTGATTACAAGTCTCCCAGGAGCGTTTGATGCAGGGTCATCTGAATACAAATCCAGAAAAAGTTTGACCAAGAGGGCCCTTACACCCCAGGTTAAGAACCTCAGTTCAAGAAATATCCAAATGAACATTTACCTTGGGGTGTGAGAGATAGGAGACATCTCTTATGACCTTATCCCAACAGTGGGAAGTGCACCAAGGAGGCCCTGAAGGCCATGCTGTGAGTGGGCAGGTGGGGGCATCTGTGATGCCACTGTTCCTGAGACCCCCACCCAGGGCACCTGACACATGTGCCCTCAACCAGGGCAAAGACCACACATGTCTTGCTTCTCTATCCCCAGCTCAGCGCCAATGCAGTACAAGATCAGTGTGGTTCTGAGTGTAACTGCATGAGCCCATTAGCCCTGTGGGTCATGAGGTCTATTCTAAGCCCCTCCAATAAGTGGGCAGATTAGTGCCCCCCGGCAACTGGGTCCTGAAAACCATCAGCTCTCCGAGCCGTGCAGTGAGGAGAGCCCTGTCAAAGGCCTGGCCTCCCTGTTACAGGCCCCGGCTCCCCATGGAGGGGGCACCAGAAGGTCTGACTTCCAAGTGCTCAGTCTGTTCGTCCTTCCTGGAAGCTGTGCGAGTAAAACCCAATCTTCGGTCTCTTCCCTCTCTCTCCAGGTGATATTGGTGGTCAGATGGGATTGTTCATTGGTGCTAGTATCCTTACAATACTAGAGCTCTTTGATTACATTTATGAGGTAAGATTTGGGATTGCCTGTAGGGACATGACCCTGTGCTGGTGTCCTGATCCTGCCACGTGTTCAGATCAAGGCACAGGGAAGGCAATGGCCCCTCTCCACCCAGAGCCTGCTTTCTCCTGTCTGCCAATATCGTTTATCACCGAATCCTGGGCACAGGAGTGGGGGTTTGAAAGGGGGCATGGATATAAGAGGAACGGAACAGAAGCCATAGTTCTATCCTCAGGGAGCTGGAAGAGCAGAGGGCTGTCTACCCTCACAAGGAAGAAGGGGGCAAGACTGCTGAGGCCAGCTCCCAGCCCCTCCCACAGCGAGGTGGATGTGGTGGCTTCATACATGAGTGTGCACACACTCACACCCACACACACGCACAACACACACACACACACTCTGGGTGGCCCATCACCTGAGTGGTGCCTTCTGTGGCCGAGCAGTCCTAGGGAAAGGGGCATTTCCCAGTGATCCCCATCTGCAGGGCACACCAGCCACTTTTGTCTGCTAACAGTCTGAAGAGATGTCTCCCTCAAGAGGCAGCTGGAACAAAGCCTCTGGAAGCTCATCAAACACCAGGCAGCAGCTCCCGGCAGTGAGAGTTCCTGGTGCCTGTCAGCCTTCCTAACTGCATCTCCCCCAGACCCAGGCTAGGGTGAGCAATCCCCTGGAGCGCTCTGCCAAAGGTCAGCCTGGGGGCTCACCAGCCACCCTAAAAACAGTGCTGAGTTAGCTGGCTAACCTGCACCAGGAGACCGGTCTATCCCAGGCTCTGTCCTGAGCAGGTGTTCACTTGGAGGCCTCCATCTACCTGGCTGTGAGATCACCATGTGCCTGCCTGAAATGGGCAGTGGCTCCAGAGTTCCTAAGGCATGCCTAGACCCACGGAGTTCCCCAGGACTGCCTGAGGCCCGGCAAACGGGAGCCTGCAGAGCCATGTTCTACCTCCCAGAGAGGCCTGTTCATGGCCAGAGGCTGCTGGGAATCGTTATGGGGAGCTGTGGGGCTCCTGTGACCAGGGTCCTCTGGTCTATCAGCTTGGTGACCGTACTCCCCAAACCCAAATCAGGTCTCATGGGCAGATTTATTCTGCTTTGTTTCTTAATTTTTGTGAAAAGCTGTACAAAGTTAAGGCAGTTTTATCACACCCAGTAACATATTTAAGAGCTACCCTTTATTGCTAGGAATAAAATGTTATGAACTCAGGCATGCCCTGGTCTTGTGAACTGTGAAGCTGTCAGGCCTAGAAAGCAAATAATAATCTTGTCCTCCAGGCCCAGCCTTAGCAGGTCACAGGCTGCTCCTGAGGACAGACAGGGAGCAGTCATGTCAGCACATGCCACTTGGCTGCACTGTCCACACACAAAAGAAGGCAGTCCACACTGCGAGACGGGGACTTTCCATTACCTTTTTCAAGCTCTAGCTCCTGCAATGAAATCCCATTTGAGCCAAAAGGCTGGGTCGAGACAGATGGGCTCCTGGAGCTGGCTGCCAGGCTGAGCTCTCTCTGCGGTTGTCCTGCCACAGCCCAGGCAGCCACTGCCTCTGGGATTCCCCAGCGCAGATGTGTGGAGAGAGGTGCCTCGGCCTTTGCACCATCCTCCTGGCCTGACCAAGCCCTTCCTGCTTTTCTTGCAGCTGATCAAAGAGAAGCTATTAGACCTGCTTGGCAAAGAAGAGGATGAAGGGAGCCACGATGAGAACGTGGTAAGCGTGCCAGGTCCCCTACTTGCTAGCTGTGTGCCTGGAGGCAAGTTACCTAACCCCCCTGAGCATCTGTGTAAGATCACACAACCTCAGAGGGTTGTCATGTAGATTAAGTGAGATCGTGCCTGGAAAGCAATCAGCACAGTGCCTAGTCTATAGTCAGTGCTCAGTAAGTATTGGTTCTCTCTCCACCCCCACCTTCCCTCCATCCCATTCTCCCTCCCCATCAAATCTCCCCCCAGTTCCTGGCACAGCCTCCTGGCTAATCTCCCTGCACCCAGCCTCCTGCCCACTTGCAGCCTGGGAACTACCCTGAAGATTCACTACTATCTCAGCCCCTCCCTGCTCAGGGACCTACAACTATGGTTCCCTGGGCTACCTTAATACTAAAGGTTTTTTGGACAGCTCTGACCAGCTCTTGTTTGGACCTCTAGGAGCCTCCACCCTTCCTGATTGGACTCAGTGATTGATGCTCCTGCCCCAGGCCTAGCCATAGGCTGCACCTCCCCCACCAAAGCCCCAAAGGAGGCCCCCAAGGGAGAGGGCAGGGCTCAGAGCCATGCAGCCCCACGGCTAGAGGCCACTTAGATGTAGTCCTGGTGGGACATCAGGGGCATCTCTGGGAAAGGTCAAACCAGCTGCTAAACCCCATCACCAGGGGGCCCAGTGGCTCCCTAGGGGACCCCTAGGTGGGCGATGGTGAAGATTCCGCTCAGCCTCATGCACCAGGATGGCAAACCAGCACATCAGGGCAGAGGAAAGAGTGCCTGGGAGAGCCCAGAAATGGGGAGCACTTCTCCCAGGGCCTAGGCTGGGCTTCTAGTGACATCACAATGCATTTTTGCTGAAGGAATGATAAACACCCACCTCCCCTTTCCCTCCAGAGCACTTGTGACACGATGCCAAACCACTCTGAAACCATCAGCCACACTGTGAATGTGCCCCTGCAGACCGCCCTGGGGACCTTGGAGGAGATTGCCTGCTGACACCCTCAGGCTGCCCAGCACCTCCCACCAAAACAGACCTCGAGGCCCAAGACCCAGGACAGGGGACAGCAAGCTCAGGTGGGATGGCCCCTGATGACAGAACAAAGCAAGAGCCCCCTATGCACACATTGCAAACTATCTGCCAAAACCTTGCTATGGCCACGTCTGACATGATGCGTCCTTGAGCCCTGCCGTGTGTCCTTCTTAGGAGAGATGAGTCACACTCTGGAACTGTCCAAGAACCAACCTGCCATCACATCTCACTGCCAGATGTATAAAGCACCTGCATGCTCAGACTTCTTATGGCGCCACCTCCATGTCTGTCTTGTACACGACTTTCTCCATGCGGTTTCCAGTGTCCACTCTGCTGCCCATGCAGGGGGACTGGATTCCAGCCCCAAAGTCACCATGAGGCTACGCTGGAATCAAAACTGTACAATCAAGAGGGAAACCGCAGAACTCTCTACTACATTCAGTCCTTGTGTCATTTCTGAAGGTTCTTAACCTGCCCACAAATTCCCCAAGCTGGCCCTGGGGGCTTTGGCACTGAAGGTGACCAGTGCCAGCCTCCCTCCCAGCCCCAGCGCCTGTGATGGTGGCACGATGGCCTGGATGACACCAGGATTTATCCATGGCACCCACATCATTCTCTCTCCCTGTGACACAGCTTGTACAGTCCGATTATTTTTATTTGGGGGGCTTTTTTGTTTGTCTGTTGGAGATTTGTTTTGTTTTGCTTTGTTTTATGATTTTTGATGTTCCGAGGTTTGGTTTGGTTTTTCCATTTTCCTTGGCGTTTATTTATTCGTGCTTCAAATCACAGTCATATTAAAAGCTGGTCTTGTGGAAATGACCGGGTCATTTCTGCCTTTTTTCCACATCCAGTTCCGAGGTTTGGTTTGGTTTTTTCCATTTTCCTTGGCGTTTATTTATTCGTGCTTCAAATCACGGTCATATTAAAAGCTGGTCTTGTGGAAATGACCGGGTCATTTCTGCCTTTTTTCCACATCCAAGCTCTCTCCCCAAGAGCTTCAGAAAGGGTCAGACCTACCAGGTCAAAAATTGCAGATCATGTACATACAAAGTGGTATGCAACATTTACCTCTACTAAGTGTGTACACTCCATATTTTTATTCTATTCTACATTTTTGAAAATGATTGATCACAACCTTGGAAATGACTTCACAACCCACCAACAGGTTACAGCCCACCTTCTGAAGGACACAGCCCCAGACCATAGGCATGTGGCAGGAAGAGGGGGAGGCTGGGAACACTGCACAGACCTAGAAACCATAAAGGAGGCCTTGGCATCCCACTATGCTTCTGCCTGCTTCCCTGACTCCTCCTGACCCCATCAGTGAATTCAGGCTGGACACAGGCCCCTGGGGGACCTCCATCCCACACACCAGCCTTTCTGACCCTCTATCCACCCCACCTCCCCACCCATCAAACCCACATGCCCTGTCCCTCCAGAGGTCATGTTTGCATTCTGCCTTGCTTGAGAGGATGGCCAGGTGGGACAGGAGGATGGGGGATGACTTCAGGGTAGATGGGAGGCAGGGCAATTCCTTTTAAGCCTCTTGGTGGCAAGAGAGAGCTTCTTATGTAAGCAGAATCCTTGTCCTCATGGCAGAACACTAGCTCCAGAGCAACAGTTCCTTTTTAGCCTAACCTTTCACTTCCGCTACTGACCCCAACCACTCCCAACTCAGGATCTCCCCAGAGCAGTGCAGAAAGGCCTGATGTGGCATGTGCCTTCCCCCTCATGCACAGATGCACAAGAAGCACTGGCCAGACTAGGGGTTCGGGGCTCTGGTCTCTGCTTTGCCATCCAACCTCCTTATCTATGGATCAATCGATCTGTCTCCTCCACAGCCCACTAACACAAGGAAAGGTTATTTCCTCAATGTGACCAATTGAAGATTTTCCCACCAGAACTTAGGAGCTCTGGCCCCGTGGCCTTCTTCTCTCAGGAGCTGTATGACAGCGGATGAGACTGTACCTACCTGGGCTCAGCTTCCTCGATTTCAGGATGAAGATCACACCTTACCTGTGTGAAGGGAAGATACAGGACCAGATGATCTCCTGAGACCTCTTCAGACTGAAAGTGCTATGACAGTACTACTTCCCCTGTCCTTTGGCACAAGTTGTACCAACCACACTCACGCACAAACGTGGCCAGGACCTGGCAGCAATCAGGACTCCAGAAGGCAGCTGGGACAAAGCACCCCTGTGATGCCTCGTTCTGAGCATTTTCTCAGCTGGGGTTACCCAAGCTTTAGCAAAGCTGGGTTTTAATTCTTACAAACAGTGCAAATTTGCTGGAAAGGGCCCTGGGTTATTTTCCATCACTGCCATAGCAAATTATCCCTACCTTAGTGGCTTAAAACAACACAAATTTGTTATCTTACTGTTGTGTGGGTTAGAAATTGGACATGGGTCTCTTTGGGCTAAAATGTAGGTGTCAGCAAGACTCCATCTCTTTCTGGAGGCTCTAGGAGAGGATCCGTTTCCTTGCCTTTACCAGCTTCTGAGGCTGCCCACATTCCTTGGCTTGAGGCCACTTCCTTGATCTTCAGAACCCGCCGATGGGCGAATTCTTCTCATGTCACTTAGCTCTGAACCTCCTTCACAGTCACTTCTCCCTCTGACTCTGACTTCTCTCCTGCCCACTCTTCCCTTTTTAAAGGACCCTGTGATTATGCTGGGCCCACCAGATAGTCCAGGATAATCTCCCCATCTCAAGGTTAGTAACTTAATCACATTTGCAAAGTCTCTTTTGCCATGTAAGGTCACATATTCACAGGTTCCAGGGATTAGGATGTGGACATCTTTGGGGGCCAATTTTCTGCCTACCACAGACCCTTTGGGCCATGTAGCCTAGTGCCTTCATTTTCCAAGTAAGCAGACCTAAGGGTGGAGGGGAGGGACTGAGGGTCACACAGTGAGTTAGTGGCAGTGGCAAAGCTATACTCCTAAGCTCCCAGACTCACAATTCCATTTGTAAGCACCACCAAGATTACTCACCTAAAGCAACAAGGACTGAAAGTGATCATTTTTCCAGACTTTGCCAGGGCATGGAAGTCACTCTCCTGAGACAAACACTCCCCACTACATCAGGCTGGAAAACATCCTGCTGGTGCCTAGACTATCAGCTGCAGAAAGACAGGGTGGCCTCAGACAGCTCCCATCAGAGACAGGAAACAAATGAAATGTCTATTCAGTTAGTTGAGAGTCAGTCTGATGCTTTTGCCCTGTTCCAGTTTAACAGTTCCATAAATTTTTTAAGATCTATAACTTAAGTTGCAATTTGAACTGCTTCATCAGATTTCTGGCTTCTTTTTCAGAAAAAAAAATAGGGATCAACTTGTATGAAGCAAAGACTATTCAGACACGTTTGGATTGCTTCAGGGCTCACATACATAGGCGCCCCTTCTAATTGGGAGGTCCTGTCTTTGTTTAGCTTGACCAGATCTACATTCTTTACCTGTTTAAAGATAAAAAAAAAATAGGAAATTCAAAAAATAGATCTATAGCCAGCTACTGATTATTAATTGGCCAGCTACTAATTATTAATTGATTATTAATTGGCTGATTAATAGACTATTAATAGGCTGATTAAAAGACACAGTCTAAATCCCAGGGAGTGGTGGGATGTTTTTTATTATCATCATTTCAAATAAGTAGCTGTGTATGCAGTTGTTTTCTTAATGAAGACCCAGAGAGGTTTGGTGGGCAGAGGAGATTCAGGGATGTGTCACATTGTCAGGAGTGACTCAAACTATGACACGAAGGCTAGGAGTTTGGGACGATCACCAGTCCAAACCACAAAGCTGAATTCTCAGTGATCTCAGAGGGTGAGATTAATTAATTAGTGGCACATGATCTCAGAAACAGAATCCATGAGGTTTGCCACAGCTGGGGAGAGCAAAAGGAAGGAGACACTCCGTGCGTGTCCCTGCAGGGACAGAGCTGGCTGCTTATAAGTGCTGACTTTGTTGTTTTGGGCAGAGAGAGGCCAGAGTTATTTTATTTTCCTCTTTCCAGCTTGAAGCTATTTTAGTAAGAGTTCTAACCATGAACAGCCCCCGTGAGAAGTTTGTGGAGCCACAAGCACTGATGTGACCAGAATCCACAGAGGGTCTCTGGAGAAAGGCTCTTGATCAGCTGGGAAGGAGGAAGCCAGGGCAGGCCCTGCTCACAGGTGTGATCCTGGTGGGTAAGGTGTCCTCAGGGAAAGCTCAGTTCAGTCCCCCTGAACCCAGAGGCCCTAGCACAAACCTCTTCCTCCACAAACTCTGAGGTTTCAATTGGATTTTGAGAACTAAACTCAGAGAGGGCAAGGAATTTGCTTCTGCGTGTTGAGCGGGGAGTGAGGGTGGACAGCCAGCCCTGACCCCCACACAGCCAGGGCAGACCTGCACAGAACAAGCTTTCCGGTGTAGCTGGGAAGGGAGCAGAGGAACGAAGGAGGGCGAATGCATGAAGACCACAGGTCCACCATCCATTCGGCTCCTGTGGGTCGATGGTCTGCTATGTGCCTGGCACTTGCCCTCAAGGAATCTGTCATCCGAGCAGGGAATCCTGACAAGTAATCACAGGACTATGAAAGATGAACCCAAGTTTACCAGTTGAAGGGGAGTGAGTGTACATAGGTCCAAGGGAACCCAAACAAAGAAGTGAAAGGGTAAAGCGCCCTAAATGACCACCCAAAGGTAGGCAGGTGCCAAAGGATGAAGGGCCTGGTCACCACGCTGAGAGGGGTGTCACGGCTAAAGTCCTTCAAGCTCTCTCCCTGCTCACCAAGAGTCTATAAAGACATTCCCCAAGCCAAAGGTTGATTTACTGAGCTGATGATTTTCTCCCCCCTCATGTGAGATTCATGAAATCTTTTTGTGCATACATGTATGTATTCCTAAGGCTGATAGGTTGAGTATTTGGGGGTGGGGCGCATGAGGTCCCTGGGGACCATGAAACAAGGCAGTAGGACCCAATCCTGTTGGAGGACAGGTGGGAGGAGGAGAATCTCTTACTAATCCAATTTAAAATTTGGTAAAACCTATACCTATTTGCTTTTCAAGAGCAAAGCAATAGATTGGCAAAGGCTTTGGACAGAGTCAAGAGGCTGAGTATCTAACCTGTTTCTGCTATAAACTGACCACATGACTTTAGACAGTTCACCCCACTTCTCTGGGCCTCAGTTTCCTCCTCTATAAAAGGGGAGGGGCAGGAAATGGATAGATAATCCCTTTGGAGCTTCCCAACTCCAACAGTCTATGAATCTAAGTTGAGAATGGGTGTCAGGCATCTAAGCAAATATTTAATTTACTATTCAGAGCCTCTGTTTCCCCCTCTATAAAATGGAAATAATGATGCCTAGTGTTCAGGGTCATTCTGAGAATTAAATGAGCTAAGGTGTATAAAACACTTTCTACCTTTTCTTTTTTTTTTTTTCTTCCTATAAAACATTGATTCTTGGGGCCTGCCTGGTGGCGCACTGCGCTAGTGCGCCACTTGGGAAGCGCGGAGGCGCTCCCGCCGAGGGTTCTTTTTTTTTTTTTCTTCCTATAAAACATTGATTCTTGGGGCCGGCCTGGTGGCGCACTGCGCTAGTGCGCCGCTTGGGAAGCGCGGAGGCGCTCCCGCCGAGGGTTCGGATCCCACATACAGACCGGTTCCCGCTCACTGGCTGAGTGAGGCGTGGGGGCGACGCTGGGGGTTGCGATCCGTTGCCGGACATGGAAAAAGACA